CATCATAGATATATGAGAATTGCAGTCTCCTAAAAATCAAGAAAATCTTGTCGAAAATGCCAGAGACCAGAGATATCATTGCGAGAAACCAAAGCACATACACTCCCCATGTATAAACCAGAACGGAAATGAGAAAAAACAACTAATTATGGATATGTTATCATGTACTATAGTCCCAACTATGACTCACAATCTCAGTCTCATGCTGATTTTTTACATATAACACACACATTCTTTTTGTCTAATACATAATTAGGAAATATAAGTAAAGCAAATACCATATGAAAATATTAATTAGTAATGACGACTGCTTTAGAAAATTGAAGAATCACACATTATTATGACCTCTCCACATGTTTGTATTGCTGAAGAAACCACTGAACCGGCCTTATTCTTTTAAAAAATTCAAAGGCTGCATATTCATTGAGTTCATCAGCAGTTTTCACGCCAGTAAAATCATTATTATTATTATTATTATTATTATTATTATTTAAGTAATGACAACTGGTTTACAAATAGAACTGACACCGTTTGATAATTTTTTTAATCTAAATCTAAAAACATAATAATTGTGAATGAAGTTATACCCCTGATTTATGTCCGTTTTTTCCGTTAAGTTTTTTTGTACATTATGCTATAAAGGTTGTACATTAAAATATTTTGGACAAACATACCCCCGTTATAACTTCCGTTATCTTTTCCACTATTGTTACCATGCACATGCCTCCACCATATATTTTCTTATCTTCTTCATTAATAATAATATATACACATTATATATTTGAGTTATATGTTAATTATTACATAAATATAAATATCAAATTTATAAAAATGATTTACATTATTATTATTATTATTATTACTTAGAATAAGTTAAATATCTAAAATCTAAATAAATTTAAAATTTTAATATAATGTATTAATATTGGCACCTATTTTTTGCGCATCGCGCATAAAAAATACTTGTAAAGAGATATGCTTCTAAAGAGCATCCTCGTATATACTTTTTAAAAAATTAAAAACAATAAGATAAAAATCGACATCGTATCTATTTTATAAATTTATTTAATATTTTATAAATTTTAAACTTCCTTCTTCGTACAAGGCTCCGCCTCACAACAAAACCACATGATATGATTTTTAAATATGCAAAAATGAAAACAAATAAATTCGTTAATACAACATATTAAATTATATGGAGTAAATAGTTTTGAAATAAACAAATATACAAACAATTTTTAAGGTGCGTGGGTTGTGTATGTAAAGTACGCCATTTCAAAATTTTAGGTGCGTGATTTGTGTTTTTAAGGTGCGCCATTTTAATGTTTAAGGTGCTCACATTCTACCCGTACATATTATTTGAATGAAAAATTAATTCCTATTAATTTTATGTTTTAAAAGACATTTTACTTGGTTTTTTTTCTTTTTTTTTTTTTGGGTAATATGATGGCAGAATAACCAATGTGATTTGTGATAAGTTTTATAATATTTCACATTTTTATTATATCATATACATTCACCTGTTTGCAAGTTTGGAACAATAGTAATTATTTTTATTTTTCACATTCTACCCAATTGTACATATTATTTGAATGAAAAATTAATTCCTATTAATTTTATGTTTTAAAAGACATTTTTAATTATAAATTCTATAGTTGATATGATTTTTAAATATGTAAAAATGAAAAAAAATAAATGAGTTAATACAAAAGATTAAATTATACTGAGTAAATAGTTCTGAAATAAACAAATACACCAAATTTAACACCAAAAGGAATATTCTTAGCATATTTTTACACTAAATTTTTTTTCATCTCCAGCCCATTAAACCAAATTCTGCACCAAATTTTATTCTTTCATTAAAATAACTAGTATTTTCGCTCGTGCGATGCACGGAATAGATTTTTTATAATATATTAAAAATATTTGGATTGATATATAATTATTTAAATTAGAACATCAAATATTATATAGTGCAATTGAATATATGGTTTGAATTATTTATGTGTTTTGATATTATCATTGTTTGAATTTGAGCAAATAATTGCTCAAATTAATACCTAATGTGAAGATCAGTAGATGTCCGCATGTGGTGCTGTAACTTTAGAGATTTTATTTATCATTGTTTAATATATATATTTTTTTTAAATTACGCATGTGGGATCGATGTTGTTCGGCCGTGGATCCGCCGCCATGCTCGCATGGTTGCTACGGTCGTCGCTAGTAATTTCTTCGGCAGTGGTAGGCATGCATCCCACATAGCTCCATTTCGTGTTCTCCATATATATGTGATATAAAATTGAGATAATTCCATCAGTGTCTAGAACATTCAAGATTACACTAAACCATTAATGAAAAATATTTGTCACAATATTTGGAAGTGGAAGGTTGGATTGATTCCATATGGAACTTGCATAGCCACAAAACACTAATGAGTGTATAGTGCCGTCATTGATGATCACACATGGCACACATCGGATCAACATCTACTCTCTTTATAAGCAAGTTATTTGTAATGGAAAGAATATCACTTATAACTCTCCCTAAGAAGATTTTCCATTTCAATGGAATTTAAAGTTTCCATAGAGTGATCTATTTACTGAATACACCTTTACTATTGTTATATTTTGCTTGTCATCTATCTTACTTCTGATTCCAAAGTACTTCCTAAAATTATCTATCCGTTTAGCACCAATTTTAACCGACTCTCAGAATCTTCATTATTATGTCATCTCAAAATAACTATTATATCATAAATAAGAAATAAAAAATTCAAAAAACAATGATAAAAAAAAGGAACTAAATTAAAGTAACTATTATATCATAAGTAAGAAATAAAAAAATTCAAAAAACAAAAATAAAAAACAAACAAATTAAAGTAACTATTATATCATAAAAAACAAATAAAAAATTCAAGACACAATAATAAAAAAGAACCCAAAGTTCAAAATTAAAGCAGATTAAAGGTCTACCATCCTCGCTGGAATCTGTAGTTTGTGACTGAAGTCCAGCAGTCTCCCAACACGATTTAAAGAAACTTGTCGTGTATCCATCAGGGCCAACCCGCCAAGAGCCCCGAAACAAGTGTTATGAGTTCCTCTGCTTGATTTGGAGATACGCACGACCCTTGTCTGTAATACATCTCTTTAATTTTTTTTCCCGTTCCTTTGATTTTCTAAGTAACTCGTTGTAGTATTTTACAAGCAGTTCACCTACTTGGTCCAATGACGTGGTCGGCACACCATTCATATCAAGAATTGAAGAAATCACCTTTACTGAATTCTTCTTGTTAATCAAATCATGGAAATAATGTGATCCTCTGTCTAATTCCAATAAATGCTTTGTATTCAATTTTTGAGTGAAGTACTGCGTTTTGGCTTCCATGAGTAACAATACTTTCTCTCTGAGTTTGCGCACCAACTCACGTTCCTCATCACTAGCATATACCACGTCCAATGCTTCATGTGCTATAGTAAAATCCTCATTTCCACACTTAACCCTTTCAGAGATATGACTAAATTCCCACTTAGCTTGTTGAGAGATTTAATTAAGTGGATACTTCAATGCTTTCGGATTCTTAGCCAAAATAGGCGTAGATTGTCCTATAAAATAAAAATTATTTGATCAAAGCAATTCAACTTTGCATATACAGAATGCATAAGAAAAAAAAAAACACAAAAAGCAACATCTGAAAAAGAAAAGTCAGGGTAGAGTTGGTTTTGCTGGGATCAAATTGGATATGAGTAAAGCCTTGATTGGAAATTTCTGAGTGGTGTCCTTGCTAAATTGGGTTTTTCTGATCAAGTGGTCAAACTGATATGGAGTATGATATCCACTGTTGAGTATAGGTTTCTATTAGATCGGAAAGAGACTGGTTCTGTTCTTCTGGGGAGGGGCTTACGTCAAGGAGATCCCATATCCCCTTATTTGTTCATTTTGGTCATGGATATGTTTCATGTCTTAATCCAAAACAAAGTTAGGGAGGGTCTGGTTCAGGGGAGTCTCCATTGCAAGAGGAACTCCAAAAATCACAAATCTTTTCTTTGCAGATGACTGTTATGTTTTTTTGTAGAGCTATTGTCAAGGAAATTTCTGTTATTAAAGGTGTAATCCAATCTTTCAGTGAGGCTTCCGGTCAGGCTATTAACTATTCCAAATCAACAAGAGAGAAATCCTAGGATTCATAAAGGATAAAGTCATGGGTAGGATAAGAAGCTGGACAAACAAGTTTCTCTCAAGAGCCGGTAAAGAGGTATTATTGAAGAATGTAGTTCAGGCCATTCCAACATACACAATGAGTGTCTTTTTAATTCCTTTGGATATAGGGAGAGAGATTGAAAGGATGAATAGTTTTTGGTGAGGCTGTGAGGGAGAGAGTGGTAGGGGTATTCAGTGGAAGAGATGGGAGGCCCTATTTGTACCTAAATAGAGCAATCGTTATACCGTGCACCAGGGCGCACATAGCAATGTGTGTCCCGTGCCTCCCAAAACGACGTCGTTCAGGTATAACATTCTGTACATTCGAAATAGGGGTTTTTTGTCTTTTTAAAAAAGATTATATGTTTTCAGGTATAAAATTATGTGTTTTCTATTATATAATTCTGTACATTCGAAATATGGGAATTTTCAGTTATAAAAATTATGTGTTTTCAGGTATAAAATGATGTGTTTTCGAGTATAAAATTCTGTGTTTTCTATTATACAATTCTGTACATTCGAAACATTAATTTTTTTTTTAACAGCAAACACGCGAAAAGGTCAAAACGACGTCGTTTTGGGCCAGGGCGCACAATGCACTGTGCGCCCTGGTGCACGGTATAATTTGCCTAAATAGAGGGGGGGTCTGGGGTTTAGGAGAATTAGAGAATTCAATTCAAAGTGGCTTTGCTAGGGAAGCAAGCCTGGAGACTTATCTAGTATCCCAATTCACTTGTAGCGAAGCTGTATAAGGCCAAATACTACCCAAAACATGACTTTCTTGAAGCCCAAATTGGGGGAAACCCATCCTTTATTTGGCATAGCATTATGGAAGCTTAAAATGTTGTTAGAAGCAACTATAGATGGAGGGTGGGTGATGGGAGTAGTATAAATGTTTGGAGAGACCCATGGTTACCTAACAACCTTTTCCCTTCTATTCAACCTGCTGTGACAGATGCAAACAATGACATGAAAGTGAGAGACCTGTTTACACATGACAATCTGGGGTGGGAGGACTCTACACTGGATTCTCTATTTACTTTGCTTTGTCAGCTATGCAACATGGAAGGGGAATCTGCAGAGCATTTATTTGTCTCATGTCATTTTGCTAGAAGCTGTTGGAACTATCTTGGCAACTTAACCTAGTTTCTTGGGCTGGCTGGAATTCAACTTCAACAACTTGGAGGACAATGAGCTATTCAACTTGGAGGAACGAGAAGGTCTGGAATCAGGTGATCATCCCACCAGAAGTCACTGTTAATGGTGCTACTAATTTCCTTATCGAATAGCAGAAAATGGTTCCTTCATTGCTGCAAAGGAGATTCCCAGATCTGGTATCCTCAAACCAGACAAAGCAGAGGTCCTGAGCATCAAGGAGGCTCTCAAATGGCTGAAGGAGATTAATCTGGATGGTATTCAGATTCAAACAGATTGCATGAAGATCACTAACAATATTAAGTATCAATCCTTTTCCACCTATTTTGATCTTTTACTAAATGATGTTAAGGAAATAGCTAAAGGATTTTCTAATCTTAGCTTTTTGTTTGCTAAACTGGTCAGCAAACAAAGTCGCCCACCTGTTAGCATAAAGATTCTTTTTCAGGATTTCTATTGGAAAGATGATGATTCTCTCTTTTGTCTGACTCTCCTTTCTTCTCAGCTTTTTCATCTAACTTGTATGCTTGATCATTGCCATTCATGAACGAGTCCTGCAAATCACCCAATTTGGGGAGAAAAATGACAATAAAATTGACATGAAACTTGTCAAAAAGCTTACTTGCTTAATTGCAGGTGGTTTATACAACTTGCTATATCTTGCATCAACTGAAGCTTCTTATCTTTGGATGGTCTCCCAGACTTGAGCTTTTCAACAAACTAGGGAAAAACAACATTAATTCATTTCAGAATGCATGCAAAGAACAATAAATTAAAACAAATGGGAGAATTAAAATTTCATTTTCAACCACTGCTGCTTTGATTCAAGCCATATATATATAGCTACCTCTTTGTTAACGAAACAATCGAGGGCATTGCCATATCTCTCAGCAAATATGGTTGACAGATAGCGCAATTCTGGCACGTTGCCAAATCTTGCTGGCTGCTGCAAACATCAAAGTCGACACGGCTTCCTTGCAATCCTCAGGTCATTGCCTGCAGGAAAGTTAAGTTAGCTATATTCATACAGCTGAGAATTGAAAAGAAATGGAACAAAGTTATTTAGTTGTAAACTCGATCTCTTTATTCTGCCATGACAGACAACATGAAATGGTAAACACTATATGCGCTTGGTATCTCTCATAGTTTGAGAAGAAGCACAAAAACAACATTGTCAACTGCCATAAAATTAATAGGTACCACACAGTACAATAATCAAACATGTTATATACCTCTGTTTAGTGTTTACTCATGATTGGAAGATTGCTTGAGATCTGTTCACAATACTGATCCATTAAATCATAACACCTTGAGTGGTTGAGTTCAACCAGAAGATCTTCACACTGTTTCATCATAGATATATAGAAATTGTAAAAGGGTGAGAATTGCAGTCTCCTAAAAATCAAGAAAATCTTGTCGGAAATGTCAGAGACCAGAGATATCATTGCGAGAAACCAAAGCACATACACTCCCCATGTACAAACCAGAACAGAAATGAGAAAAAACAACTAATTATGGATATGCTATCATGTATCAACTATGACTCACAATCTCAGTCAGTTGAGAAGGGGATGCTGTTGCAGGAAAACAAAAAATGGCAGATCCTTAGCTTCAATAATACACTGCACATTCCATAATTATGAATGTTATTGAGTAATCGGCATTCCTAGTTCAATATTTTACTCATTCTTAATACCTAAACTTATCACCTGGAATTCAATGCTGCAAATACGAAATTTCATTGTTTACCAAACAAGATAAAATGAAATCAATTGCAACTTCAAAAACTACCAACAATCAAATCAAATGGCACAATACAAAACACAATTATACTGCAAGTAATCATTGCAAAGCCAGAAACTTTTTCAAAGAAATAGCATAATAAATTTCCGTTCTTGATTTCAATTAGAGAAATGAAGAACCTATATATACATTCAATCTCGAAAGCATCGTATATACCAGAATTCAGGACGCCGTCAAGCAGGTTAGAAAAAATTGGAAAACCCTAAATATTAAGGAAATCCAAAACTCAAGAGCAGGTTAGCAAATACTTACAAAATTTTCGCAAGAAAACAAAGGATCCATTGCAGAGCTTTTTGGGGAGAAAAAAATTTGGACCATTTCTCGATTTGTGCGTGTCATCCTTGCGCAGGGGCCATGCTAATCTTCTCTGTATCGTTCCAATTTTATCGGATGTCCCCGAAGGGACAACAGGTGCTGCCATGGCGGACTATGTGTACTGGAAGAGAGCTGCTTCATCGCCCGATGTGGGAGCTAGCAAGTTAAGCGACTTCAACATAAAAGAAGTAAAGAAGGCTACCGCTCCTAAGCGGCCCATCAAGCCCAATCCAAATTTGCAAATTTATTAATTCCGAAATGTGTATATAATAAATATTTTCTCCATTTCTTTATAGTATTATATTTTATTTATTTTCTCATGGAATTATATTTGGAGTTAAATACCCAAAATGGTCCCTCAACTATAGCTAAATTCACAAATTGGTCATCGACTTTCAATTTTAACCAATTAAGTCCTTAACTTTGTAATTTTAACACGATTTGGTCCTTCGAACACTTCTGCATTAACGCTGGCGCTCGCGCCGTCATCAACGATCTCCAGAAATACCCGCAGCTCTCACCGGAGCACATGGAGGCCTCCAGGATGACGCTGCACCGGTTCAGAAACACGTTGTCTTCTTCACTCTGGTACGAACTCAACTACATTGAATCCAAAGGGAGGATGAAGAAAGGCAACAGGATTTGGCAGATTGCTTTCGACGGTGGATTCAAATGTAACAGTGCGGTCTGAAAATGCAACCGGAACCTTAAAAAATCAACGATGGACCATGAAATTACATATATATCCTCAAAAATCACAGTCAACAAACGGTCAAATAGACGGAGGACCAAATCGTGTTAAAATTGCAAAATTAAGGACTTAATTGGTTAAAATTGAAAGTCAAGGACCAATTTGTGAATTTAGCTATAGTCGAGAGACCATTTTGGGTATTTACTCTTATATTTGTGTGCATATTATTTTTGTTAAGGAAATCAACGTTGTATGTTTTACAAAATAATAATAATAATCAATCGTTATACCCTACACCACGGCGCGCGTAGCACTGTGCGCCGCGCCTCTCCCAAAATGACGTCGTTTTGGGAGGCGCGGTAGGAAGTTGCTGTGATTATGTGTATTTGTTCACACAATTATGTGTATTTGTTCATATAGTTATGTACATTTTTTATACAATTATGTACATTCTTTTTATACAATTATGTACATCCGAATTAGAAAATTTGTGTGTATTATGTTAAGAGTTGATGTGTATTATGTTAAAAGTTTATGTTTATTATGTATTATGTTAGATTATGTGTATCATCTTTTAGAAAGAGTATGTATATTTTGTTATATAATTATGTACATTCATGTATACAATTATGTGTATTCTAGTATAACATTATGTACATTTTTGAACAACGAGTTTTTTTTTTAAAGAAAAAATTACTGCCATTCACTGGGGCGGGAAATTTCAAAAAAAAAAAAAAAAAAAAATTAAAACGACGTCGTTTTGCATCTGGGCGCACAGTGCAACGCGCGCCGTGGTGTAGGATATAAATTGCCAATAATAATAATAATAATAACAACAACAACAAAAACAGTAGTAGCAGTTTCCTTATACAATTTTAAATAACTCTTTTAAGAAAACAATGTTGGTTTCCTTAAAATCCCAACATCGATTCCTATTTAAAAATTAAAATTTATATACGACGTCGATTTTTTGAAATAATCGATGTCGAATCATTATTATTATTATTTTAAGTAATGACAACTGGTTTACAAATAGAATCGAGACATCGTTTGATAATTTTTTTAATAAAGAGATATTACTCTAGTTTTTTTTAAAGAGAATCGTCGTATATACTTTTTAAAAAATTAAAAAAAATAAGATAAAAATCGACATCATATCTATTTTATAAATGTATTTAATATTTTATAAATTTTAACTTCCTTCTTCGTGCAAGGCTCCGCCTCACAACAAAACCACATGATATGATTTTTAAATATGCAAAAATGAAAACAAATAAATTCGTTAATACAACATATTAAATTATATGGAGTAAATAGTTTTGAAATAAACAAATATACAGTCAATGCTTAAGGTGCGTGGTTTCTGTACTTAAAGTGCGTCATTTCAAAATTTTAGGTGCGTGATTTGTGTTCTTAAGGTGCACCATTTTAATGTTTAAGGTGCTCACATTATACCCTATTGTACATATTATTTGAATAAAAAATTAATTCTCATTAATTTTATGTTTTAAAAGACATTTTTCTTGGGTTTTTTTTTTTTTTTTTTTTTTTTTTTTTTTTTTTTGTGTAAAATGATGGCAGAATAACCAATGTGATTTGTGATAAGTTTTATAATATTTCACATTATTATTATATCATATACATTCACGTGTTTGCAACTTTGGAACAATAGTAATTATTTTTAGAGTTAATTACCGAAATGGTCCCTTGACTATAGCGAAATTATCAATTTGGTCCTTGACTATTTTTTTTAATCAATTAAGTCCCTCAACTTTAAAAATCTAAACCAATTTGGTCCTCCGTTTGTTTGACCGTTAGTCAACCGTTAACTTTGGACCAAATTGGTAATTTCGCTAGGACCATTTTGGTAATTAACTTTAGAGGTGAGCAATTCGGTTTAGTTTTCTCGAACCGAACCGAACCGAACCGAACCGAACCGAACGGTATTGGATTCTTGTATACCGAACGGTTCGATAAAAAATCGATCTGAATTGTTCGGTAAAAAATTAAACTGAACCGAATACCGTTTGATTTTTTTAAATATAATAATAATAATAATAATAATAATAATAATAATAATAATAATAATAATAATAATAACAATAATAATAATAATAATAATAATAAATAAATAAATAAATAAATAAAAAGTAAATCCAAGTCTCTTACTGTTTGCTCTGCCGTTCAGCTCATATTCTCACGTGTATCTCTCGTAAATGTTTTATTTGATTTCTTTATGATTTGTTATCAAAAGTTCTATATTATGTGATATGGTGTTTACATAGTCCATATCCAAAGTCTAATATATAACAAAATAGCAATCCAAAGTTCAAACGTTATTCGGTTCGGTTCGGTTCGGTTTTTATAGAACATGATGGTTTTTGGGTTTTCAGGCCCAAGGAGGTCCAACACAACCTTCGGCTGGAGGATACACCTTTCAATAAAAATGTACGCCTGTATTGGAAATAATGCTAGCGCTCGGAATCTCTTTTGTATTCTCCCCCTTCCGGGTATTCAATCGTCTGTCCTTTTATAAGAGTGGAGGAGCCTTTATATAGCGGCTCCTCCTCTACCGACTTGAAGGCCCTTAATGGCCGACTTCAAGACTAATTCAGATGTGGAGCCGTTGGACGCCATTACTCGGTCGACCAACGACTCTTCCGGGCTCGTAACAGCCTGACCGAGTCCTGCTTTCAATGCCCTAACGGCTCCCTTTTGAACGAGCATCTTCAATGCTTTCAACGGCTCCTTGAACCGAGTCTTTCCCTGGGCTTGAGCCTTGGTCGACTCCTCGTCTTGGCCTAAGCTCCCACTGGGCCCCTCTTTAGCAGTTCTGATCCGGACCCCATGCTTGGGCCTGGGCCGACTCCAGGGCTCGGCCCAATTGCTCTCCAGGCCCCTCTCGACGCTGGCCCACTTCTCCTGTCTTGAACCATTTTCTTTGGGCCCTTATCTCTTGGGCCGGGGTCCTTACCCCATCAACTAGTCCCTCACTTTTCCATACCCGGTCCGCTAGCCTGGGTTTGGAAAAGTAGCAACTATCCGTCTCCTTCAATCACCGTATCCGTGCCCTGGATAGCCTTTTTGTAACGTCCGGATCATCAGCTATTCTCTCCGGATCTCGCGGAGCCGTTTGGATTCTTCTGTCTAGACTGGGCACCTATAAATGGCCTCCTCCCTTCTCTCTTACCTTCACAAGTCCATCATGAGTCGTTCTCCTCTGAAACGAAAACGAATTGACTTCGGGTCTCCTTGGCGTCCGCTGCTTTCCAAGCGGACTCGGCCTGAAAGGGAACACAAAAAGAAGACTCCTCGCCCAGCTTCTCAGAGGTCTCCTGCCGGCGCTACTTCCTCAGCTTCTCAGCCGCCGACTCCTCCTCGACGTGAGGTCGCTCCGCCTTCACGCCATCCGCCTACTCCCACAACTGCCCGAGTGACTTCTCAAGACGGGTCCTTTGTTGAGGTGGCGGTTCCAGAGCAACTTACTTTCAGAATGACCTTCTCAATTCCGCTGGACGACCTGGACGGGCCGGTTACGGGCCTAATGAATGATGAGGAGTACGCCCGCTACCTGGAGGCGTATCCGGATGATGATGAGCCAATTGCGCCACCACTCATGCCAGCTTTCTGGGACTCGTTCTGTCCATCCCCACCTGGACCATCGGGGGGATTCTTTGGGGGCGACTCTTCCTCGCCTGGCGAGTGATCATATGTACCAGAGTCGGCCATAGTTCGGAGGAATTTTTTTTAGGAGCATTTTCATATTCCTTATTGTAATAAGCTCCTTGCTACTTGTACCCTCCTTTTTATAATAATAAAAAAATGCTATTCTCGCCTTGCCTTATGTTTTGTCGTGTTTTGCTGCGTACCCATCCGGACGACTGGTCAAGGAGTCGGTCACATCATCAGGCTCTTTTCAGTCTGGCACCTGCAAGATTCCCCGTATCTCGGATGAATCCAATCTTCTCTATGTTGACGTGCGAATCTTGCTCTTCCCGGGCGGATCTGATGGAACTAATCTCTGACAGAGATTCGCGTCATCCGTCCAATCCGGCTTAGTTATGTCAGTCTCCTCCGTGATTATCGCCTAGATATTCGCCTTCACTGGGCTATATAAAGGCCCCTCACAGTTGATGCAAATCGCAACACTCTCCACTTTGCGAAGACACGGCGCTATGAGTTACAGGGATGGTGATCGCCGCTGGTCCATTCGTAACAAGGAGCATGCTCGACTGGAGCAGTTAAGGCAGAAGAGGCTAGCTAACGGAGGTCGTTTGGTGGGCGACTCGGCTTCAGACCCCATTGTGGTGCCTCCAGACATGTTGGACCTGATGTGTAGGGAGCCTATCGACGTGGAGATGGAGCCTGTGGTGGAGATGGAGCCTGTGGTGGAGGATCCAGAACCAATGGTGGAAGAGAAGTGGGAGGCTCCTCCCCTCTTTGGTGTTGCCATGTCGCCGAGCGCTCTGG